GATTACCAAATTACTTTAACGTCTTATAGAGAAGAAGGCATAGTTTCTGAATTTTTATACCACAACCTCTGCGAATACGTATTCGTGGCTGCGAATTCATTCTCGTGATTATCGTGATAGAAAATCGTTACTTTAATAAGACTTCAGTATAACGAGATGATCTACAAAAATTAGCCAATCACAATATATGTTCGCTATGCCGATATTGAGCCTAATTTTCCGGAATAACCCGACAGGACTGTTAAAAAAAAACAACGAATTTTCTGATTCCATGTTATGCAAAACGAAAAATTAACTTGCGTGGCCTTAAATACAACTAATTTATAGTAAAAAAATTTTTTTGAAAAAAAAAAATCCGACTCGCCGACTGGAATTTCGGAAAACCATGTTATGCAAAACGAAAAATTAACTTTGTGTGGCCTAATACAATAATGTTTTGAAGTATAATATTATTTTAGAATAAAAATAACTACAATTTTTTTTGCAAATTTCTATAAAAAAAGTACTTTTAACTATAGAAATATTTTAATAAATATACGTTTTTTTTTATTGAATTATATGATGGGCTAATATTACTAATTTATATAGCATTACAAGTAATCACTTTATTATTATATGTCATTTGATAATAAATAAAAATAACCATTGATTGCAACCACTTGTGAATTTTTAATTTAATTCTTTATCGTCTTCATCAGGCACTGTAAGATCGAATTGGCGTGTTTGATAATCTATAAAGTATAAATTAGCAATTAAAATAAATTTAAGAAACTTTCAAAATGAGAATAGAAACATACTATCTTCAGTAGAAACGGTTGGCAAACGACGGCTAGTAAAAATAGCTGAAGGATGGATATAAGAAATTGGAAGCGGTCTTTTTTGCATAATTTCATCAGCAGTTTTAAATTGAAGCTGAATATAATCATCTGTACAATCAAACCAAGTTTGCAGCGTATTTGCTATTTGATTGGCAGTTGGTCTTTTTTCTGGATCAGAATCCCAACAAAGTTGCATTAATTCTATATAACAAGGTGGCGTTCCTTTAACTGGCAGAGGACGTAAACCATCACAAATTTCTATTGCTAAATTAATATCATGCAGCCGATCAGAAAATGGCAATTGGTAAGAAGTGAATTCCCACATTATAATTCCAAAACTATATACATCAGAAGCTTTGGTATAAGGGTTTCTACGTAGAACTTCAGGGGCAACATATGGCATTACGCCATTTACCTCAGTAGAAAAGCGTAAAGTTTCAATATCTCCAGATAGCCCAAGGTCAGAAATACAAGTGATTCCATCAACAAGTACATTTCCACTATGAAAATCTCTATGTACAAGATTAGCATTATGAATATTGCGGAGGTCTCGTGCAAGTTGACAAAGCATATCAAGTTTCTTTGACCAATTAAGAATAATAGAATTATTTCGAATATACTGGCGAAGATCACCTCCTTTGTAATAATCCGTAACAATCATGTACTTGTGAGTAATAGGATCTTGCGTGACACCATAACATTCAAATCCATTTGAATTGAATTTAATACACCTATGGAGTGTTTTCAACTTTAATTATAAAAAATTTTATGATTAGTTATAAATTATCATTATGCATATAAATAAATAAATAAATTCATAAATTCTGCTATGAACGAAATTAGAAATTTTACTAGATGGCATTATTTTTGATTAAAGGATGTCTAAAGCCATGCTTGGTCAAAATTTTATTTTAATATGAAACTATGTAATTTGCGAATTTTACTTTTTTTGTGTTTAACAAATTCAAAACCGAGCACAGTTTTAGATGATGCTTAAAGAGTATATGACATTTGAATTTGTTGAGATGAATGACAAAGCTCCGAATTATGTAATAAGTCAATAGAAACAGTGATCACTCTACATTTTTAAATTTAAATAAAAATAGCTTGATAATGTTTTAATCAAATTTGACAATATAAAAGTGAATTTGTTTCTATTGATTCATTTAATATATATGTTAAAATCTATATATTAACTTGATGCTTAAATTATGTTGAAATAAATTATAAATGAAATTATTACAAGGTTTTATATTTTAGGTTTTACAGGTAAATAAGACAGCTACAAGGTTTAATTGGTACCAAAGCTATGGGGGAAAAATTTCCAGCCTCATGATTGATTCATAAAATTGTTAGACCTAATAATTTGCCTAAATGTTAGTGCCAATTTTAATAAAAATAACGAGAATATATCTAAATTTTAGTGCCGAAAACCCAGCTGCCAAACCAAATTTAATTTATTTCCGGATTTTTTTTTCATTATACGTATGAATAATCAACCTTACTGTACACTCTAATTGTGTAATAATCACGATAATCACGAGACTGTCAAATTTTTGCGCCATAACATTACTACTTTAGAAATTCTCCTTATAAGCACTGTAATTTGATTATAAAAAATTGAAAAAAATTCAAATATTTACTTACTTCATGCATAAGATAGCTAAAACCTTCGTTAAGTGTTTTCAAAGCAACATATTCAGTTCCCCAACGTTTCCACATCTTTTCCTTATGCATCCACCTAATGATGCATCCATTCAACCATTTCGATTTGTAGACAGTTCCATAACCACCTTTTCCAATATATTCCACATCAATGATATTTGAATATGGAATCCATTCAAATGCTTCTTGCCAACATCTCGCAGTAAGTTGAGATTTTCTAAGAAATTCGTCAAGTTCATCATTTCCACTAGTCCAATTCGGAAATTCAGATTCAAGTCGCTTAGCGTTGCATGATTGACACCACTTTAAACTAGTGTTTTTTTTTTTACATTCTTTGCAGGTACCAAAATTTTCGTTCATTATATTCTTACCTAATTAAAAGGAATAAAGTATACACTTTTAAATTGAGTTTTTTATTTAAATGAAATGTTACACGGAAATTTTCAAAGCAGGAACCATCCTAAAAGTAGATTATACTGTGGTTACACGAACCAAAAATTTAATTCTTATCATGTTTTTCACGTAACCATTATATACACTGCACATAGGTAATCACATACGCACGTACGACGTAAGTATGTGTCGGGTATGCACAAAGATACCATTTATAACTGATTTGTAAATACATTGCTACCTTGGGTATCAATGGACTTAAATATGATTGAAGCATACACTGTCGATTTGGAAAACCTGTTAGCTTGGTTCTACATGAATTGCTTTAAGCTTAACAATTATCTTCTCCATCTAAATGTTAGAATTTGACTAAAAGCATTCTATATTATAGTATACCTAACAGAACTAAAAAATCAGCATTAAAACTATACCATTAAAGTTTCAAAATTCAAATATATAAATAAACAATTTAATTTTATTTATAAATGAGCTTTAATTTCCAAAAGAATGACATTAGTCAAAAAATAAACGAAGATGTTATATAGTTATTCTGTTGATGCTATCATAATAAGGTGCCGGATAAATGTCGAATTTATCATATAACTATATCACCTTGTTTTATTTACAAATTAATTTATATAATATACGACATAATTTAGGAAGTTTTAATTGTATCAATGAGAATGAACCAATTAAATTACTTCTTGGCAAATCTTAACGTGACAACAAATTTGAAAAAAGTTTTCTTAAGCTTTCTAATCATATTGCCTAGGAAAATTAGAATTCAAAAGCAGGAATTTTATATGAAAAGCTGTGCTATTGTTTTTTTTTCAAAATTCATATTGTTCATTGAGTTCTAATTTTGGATAATTATGTAAACTATATAGCTATAAGAGTCATATAGACTTGTGCAGCTCAATTTTTCTAATCTAGTACGTAAGACTACGTATAATAGACTACAATAAGTGCCTAAAATGTTTTTTTACAGTACATGTACGTCATGTTGAATAATTCTTGTGGCGCTGATGCTAAAATTTTTAAAGCCTATACTTAAATCTCATAATAATTCTAGTATTAACTTAGTCAAAAACATGGACGCTGTAACTGATTGTCACATTACACTTATCTAGCGAATATCTTGTCCTACATTCTAGTGCAGTAGTATTGTTCGGCGTAATCAAATATGGTAAGGATAATCATAAAAACAAAAAGTCGACCGTAAAGATCATTTCTAAATCAGATCAAATCATGCGTTTTTTAACAAGAAACTGCTTAACGATCTTTTTTTTTTTTAACTAAAATCTGAATTTACTTTTTGCATCTTAGCCAATTTTAACTAGAATTATTATATAGGTATGACAATTCTTGTGAAACAAGTTTTAGTAATATATAACTGTAAGCGTGTAATTAAAATTTTCTCAAGTACACCATGTCAACTACAATTCCCTATGATCCAAAGACAGTCGCCTTGTTGGTCATAGATATGCAAGTGAGTATAACAAATAATGATTAAAAACTATTAAAACTATTTAATTTTTATAAAAAAAATTTTTTTCTTAAATAGGAATCACTTCGATGTGAGATTTCTGATATAATCCCAAATGTGCAATCTATTGTAAAAACTTGCCACGAGAAAGAAATTCCTATTTTTTGGACTCAACATGGTCATAGAAATCTAGAATTCGACGGAGGTGCTGTTGGAAAATGGGTATGTAAAAATTAAATGATTTTATTAAACTAAAATGGTTGTATATATACAGTAATTCTGTAAGTTGAGTATTTAGACCATTTCGTAGATACAAAAAAATAATAATTAAGATTAATAGTCTAAGCAAATAACTCAACCCATCAATTTAGAGTTTGGACTGGGCGTACACTAGTTTGTAGGTGAAACTGGTGAAACTGGTGCACCTATGGTAAACTAGGGTTATAGATGAAACTAATCTTCAATGGTGTACCAGTTTCCTTGTGAGATTAATTGGTTTCACCTGCAACTCTAGTGTACGCCTCTGTGAACATGAGTATATTTTAACGCTTTCAAATTACTATGACCCAATGATCATTTATCACAATAATAATTTGAAAAGCGCTATGAAAAAAATTAATCAAATGAGTTACATTGGCATTTTTATAAAAATGATTTTTTTAGATGTGAAGAATTTATTGATTCAACAGATGTAAAAATTCCATCCTGAATTGCATTTTAAACTAATTATTTTGTCTTGAGAAAAATTTCGAAGTTTGAAAAGTAATTCGCCTATAATGCTACTTACTATTTTTTTATTGTGAATTAAATTAGAATATGTCGAAATGCATCTTCCTAGTGAAATTCTTTTACCGATGAAATGTTTCTGATTTAGAAAAATAATTTTGCCTGCAACATTGTTCCTGGATAATTGGATATAAGGGAAATTTGTTGAGAAAGATAACCAACTGCGTAAGCAACCTATTAACATCAGTTATATTTCTCGTTAAATTCTTGCTTATCCAATTACTCAGAAATATCTATTGTTGAACATCTCATCAAAGTCCAAACACTATATAATTAACACATAATGATAAATCTACGTGATTTAAAATCAAAATTAATCTTTTTTAAAGTGGGGTTCTAAAAGCATTATTTGGGGATCTGAAGAATGGGAAATTGTGAAAGAACTGAAGCCATTTATTTTGGTTAGTGATTAATAATATTTCTAGGTACTAAACTTAATTATAAATATAACTTTATTTAATTGCCTTTTTTTAGCGTTCTCCTACTTCGATTGATGTCCTTGACTTTATAATTAAAAATAAAACACGCTATGATGCTTTCTACAAAACTGAACTCCATTCTTTGCTTATTTCTCTTGGAATTAAAACTCTTATCATATCTGGAGCTGAGACAAATTTGTGTTGCGAAGCAACAGCGAGAAGTGAGTAGATTACTAATAAATATAATACAATTATTTGTTTATTTATATTATTTAAATTTTAGGTGGCTTTGATCAAGATTATAATATTGTTTTCCTCAAAGATGCAACCGCTACAGAGAATGAAAAAATGCATGAAGTATGAAAGTTTGCTATTATATATATATATATATGTCTTTTCGAGGTAATGGAATTACCAAAATAACTTTTCATTTTTTAAAAAAGGCAACTTTATTAAATCTAAAATATGGTGTAGCCGAAATTTCCACTGTTACTGAAGTAATTGAATGGCTGAGAAAGCATTAGTGAAAATAACGTGTTCGTTGAGAACTGACAAATTTTGTGACCGACTATAATTGAATTATTTATTTATTTATTTATTATTATTATTATTATTATTATTAGCTGTTATAATGTGACTGTTGCAAAAACGATAAAGATGTGCAAGATTTAAACCGAACCTTTTCTTTTATGCTAATTTGTTAAATCACAGTAAAAGTCAAGTTTCTCTATTAAAAATCAAAATAAATTGTTAAGTAGTTTATCTATTCTGGGACCTTTAGGTACTTTCAAAATATCAATTCAGAATATTGTGAAATTTCTATATAAATATTATATATAATTGATGCTCGGTGAACGTCCGATCACTTTATTTATTATTATTTAACCAATTTTGTCCTTTTTATAAAGCAGTGTGGTATTTTATTTGTATGAAATATACTTCATTGATTTACTGTTGCAAAGAAAATTATGTAAGTTCTAACAATTTAACTATTTGAAAGACTTCAAAATCTGAAAATATAAATAAACCTACGCTTAATATCTGTATGGCAGTCATTTGAAAAACGTAAATCGTGATCTTCTCCAAAACTTGATCGGTCCATAATCATTACCGTATAAGTGTTATTTTGAATAATGGCCCAAATTAGGCTTAATTTAGGCCAAATTTCGAAATTACACCCCTGCGCGTTATTTCGCGCTTATACGGTACTGCAATAAATTGCAAATTCACTAGCATTAGAATTAATGCGTGATATCTTTATTTTCATGCAGTTGTTGCTGTCGTCAAGATCTAATCTAAATAAGAAGCTTTCTGTTGTTTGTTTCCATACTTCTTTTCCATTCCAATCAAATGATTATAACCACCAACCAGTATATTTGAATTTAAAATTTTCATTACAACAATTGTTGCCCTTTGTTATCGCATTTTTTATAAAATGTTTGTGATGAAAGCCCATCCAACCTACTTCGAAAAAGAAGTTTTATAAATAACATGGGAATCCCTTTAAGGTATTATCTTCTTCGGTTTTTTCATCTATCCAATTCACAATGTTAATGCAATTCGCTTATTGATAATACTAAGTCGATTTTAAAATTGCCCCATCTAATTAGAAATCGATGATGTAATAATGGTTTAGGACAAAATCTTGTAGAAGTATCACAATTAGAATGGAAAGATAAATTGAATATTTTGTACTATATAGCTTCGGATCTTGAGTCGATTTATTCTCAGAAACTTGTTCACAGAAATTTACACAGCGGAAACATTTTGCATGGAGATAATTTATATCACTGATCTTGGACTTTCTAAAAAAGTATTGAAAGGAAATTTTTTTGGGAATTCTAACGTATATGCTGCCAGAAATTTTGATAGGCCAACCATATACTCAAGCATCTGATATCTACAATTTTAGAGTTATCGCGACAGAGATTTCCATTGGGCAAAGAGCATTTGATGGAATTCTATTTAATGCAGTAATGGTGATCTAGTATCAGGAATTATCGATGGATCAAGACCTAAATGTTTAGGACCAGATTGGTATATTGAATTAGCTATAAAATGTATGGATAAACGACCTACTGCAACAAAACTTGTTGAAATAATCACTCGTTGGTTGGATGTAATGGATCAGAATGATAATGAAATCAAAAATCAATATTTTGAAGCTAATAATATCAAACCAGAGCCGATTAAACAAATACATTCACAAGACATGTATACCAGCAAGCTATATGATACGAATAGATTTTCAGAATATATCAATACTGTAGAGATTTTCAAATTCGATTTAAATTAACTATATAAATGTGTTTATATAACATGTACTTATGAAGATACGTACAACTATAGTAATTTTTCTAGTACCAAAAATTTTACAAATTTTATCAAATTATATTAAATATCTTTTCGGATTTTCTATAGAATAGGGGAAACTCCGCTAAATATCTATTAATGATTACTAATCATTAGCGAAGTTTTGCCCACCTATTCTATAGAACATCCATTTTTTCTCACCTTATCTACAAATTTTAGTTTGCACATCACTCTAGTTGCATCAACGCACCCTAAAATAAACAAATATCCAGATGTCATTATAATCAGAGTGACGTATTCTTTGGGTAAGGATCCTTTATAGAGATGGGTTTCATGCACATTTTATCCCATCAAGTTTTATATAGAAAAATTAAAATATAAACTAGGTGCTTGAGTTGCTCAAAGGGAGTTTGAAATGAGTGTGTATTGTATTATTAAATAAATCCTTTCTTCTTTAGGAAAATAATGAGAGATTTGCATCGGGATAGGATAAATATTTATGCATTTCTGATTGGTATATATGATTTTGCTTATCTTTAAAGTGTACCACGTGAGTAGTTGCATTGTTAAATGCAATTGTCGTTGTTTTGTTTATTCTTACTTAAGCCGATTATATATTAGGTCAAGGGAAAATTGGTATCTAAAGTCTGGAAATGGTTTATTTTATTGTATAAAAATTGAGTTTAACATGTTGAAATCGGTTTCGAACGCTAGGATCCCAGTTTGATATTACGTTATTTACACAGCCTTGTATTACTGTAACGATAACGAGATTAGCAACCTAAGTTTAGAGCAAAAGTTCGTGAAAGAGTGAGTGAGCATATGCAAGATCTTATTTTGATATACAAAGAAAAAAAAAATTGAAATTGTGTAGGTAAATATTTACTTTTATTAGATAAATTTATTATGAAATAAAAACTTTTTTTTTATTTAATATTAAGTTTTTTTTGCACAAGTATTTACATAAGTGATTTAGAAAATGAATATATAGTGCCGGAAGCCAATACCGACAATCACATGATTTGTTTCAATTTTTCAAACTGCTAAATCTTTTATACAAGAGGTTTTTCAAAAACTGGTCAGTAATTTTATAGAGCTATACATGCTCTATAAAATTACCAGTTAGTTTTTTGAAAAAACCTTGTACAAAAAGTTTCGCAGTTTGAAAATATTAAGATTTATATATAAAATAAACTTTAAAATGCTAAACCTTTTTACAAAAACATTATTTTAAAAATCTGACAGGAACTTTGTAGAGCTCATCATGTAGAGCTTATCATGAAGAACAAAGTTACTGGTCAGATTTTTAAAATGATGTCTTCATAAAAAGTTTTAGCATTTTAAAGTTTATTTTATATATATATCTTAATATTTTCAAACTGTTAAAACTTTTTATACAAGAGGTTTTTCAAAAAACTGATTGGTAATTTTATAGAGCATATTTAGCTCTATAAAATCACCAGCCAGATTTTTTAAAAAACCTCTTGTTTAAAAAGTTTTAGCAGTTTGAAAAATTGAAACAAGGCACGTAATTGTTGAGTATAGGCTTCTGGCACCATAGCAAAATAAATAATAAGAAAAAAAAAATAAAAGTTTTTTTATGTTACAGTAAAAAAATTAAATTCTAATCTATTAAAATCAAAATTTAGTGATAAAATGAATATAAAAAAGCAAATGTTTTTGCATAAAGCAATACTACAAGATAAAAACGTCAAGATTATGAAGGTTTAAATAGTTAAGATTATTAAAATATTAAGTTTATTTTATATATCTTCTTTGTTAAATTTGTATTTATAATTTAATATATAAGATTAGCAACTATGAAATTTACAATCGAATAATTGGTATAAGTTATCTATGTAGGCAAAATCTAATTAAGGATAAATATGTAGTATCTTTATTTAGATATATTATCAGTAATAAAGATAAAAATTTAAAAAAAAAAATTTATCATGTGGTATTATGCGTATTAATATGCATTTATGCGCATTTTATTATAAAATGCGTATTTTACCCATCTCTAATCCTTTAAACCCAATTTTATCCTAAATTGTGTCCCAAATAACTGTTAAAAGTAGGGATGGGTTCGGTCAGCTAATAGTCAGATAGCCGTAGTCGATGTAGTCGATGTAGTCGCTATAGCAGTTTAGCTGACCGGCTAGCCGATCCCAAATTTTTTATTTCCTGGCTGATAAATTATAATACAACAGAGTGAAACTGTGATAAAAACCTGCGAAAGTGGTTACGTTATTGATGCAGATCACTATCTATAATTGGGGTCGCGTGCAATTACGTGATATACGACCAATAAATTTGATTATCTGGTAGGTATACATGTATGCCTAAATTATTTTTGGCTTGCCTTAAATAAAAATTGCCAAAAATATTTTAGGCACCTAAACCGTAAATAATATTGGCTGCCTAAAATATTTTCAGCTGCCTAAAATATTTCCGGCTGCCTAAAATAATTTTAGCTGCCTAAAATTGTTTATAGCTGTTTTCATAAATTCTGAGACACTCTAAAAAAATTTGCCAAAGTTTATTTGGCCAAATTCTTTAAGTTATTGATTTCAGTATGATTAGTACGTGATCAATATATAAAAAAATTATTGAGTTACTATTATAGCAACATCAACTCTTTCAACACTTTATTAAAATTTTTTTTGCCTTATCCAATATGTACGACACAAAAATTTATGCCAAAAAAAAACTGATCTTACCAATTAATAGATCTTCACTAAAAAAATTTTGAACATAAGTTGGACTTTCTTAAAAAACATATAAACAGCTTTGAATTTAAATGATCTATAAATAAAAACAAAATTTTTACTTCAAGTTCGTTTTGATGAATCTTTTTATTATCTTTGGTAACTTATAGCAAATTTATTTATTGAAATATACTGTATCTATACAAAATTATAAAAAAAAAAAAATCAAAAATTTGGCTTTTTTAATACGTAATACTCCTAGTAGATACTAAAAAAAAAAATAAATAGTTAAATACAATCAGGGGTTGTAAAAAAATGTAACACAAATTGAAATTAGAGGTCAAAAATTTATTAATATTTGCCAACAATGTCTTAATAATTATAATAAAGTTCAAAGTATATAATGTTTATTTAAAATGATAGTAATTTATCAACATAGCCAAACCTTTGAAATTGTTTGAAAACTTGACTCACAGAAGACCTGTTAACATCCAAATGTTTAG